ACCTTGGGATCACTGTCCTGTTGCACCATCTAATTTAAGCCAAGCTTTAAGCTGTCAAGACTGCGTTAACAATAGTTTGAGACATAGCTCTTGTAGTTTTTGCAATTTCTCCAAGCATTGCATCCAAGTCTGACCCTGATGTGAATTTGCTAGGATGTCCATTCCAAGGAGATAAGTATCCATATTTTCCTCACTGAATGATGTGTCAAGTTGTTTTAAAGTGGCCTTTTAATCTTTCCCAGATTTATAGACAGCAGCAGGAAAATGTCTGCTTTTCTTAAACTGCCATTATTACAGTAGTAACTAGTGCTTCATTTAATCAAGGTCTGGCACTCCACAGTCCCTTCTGTGCATACTACTTGCCATTTCTCATGCCTTACGTAAAGCTGCTGCTGCTAGCTCTGCATAGGCTGCATGATTTTTTTGCATTGTAAAATCCATTTGTTTACTTCCTGCGGATATTTCACATGATGTGATTAAAGTATTTTAAATTTCTGTATTCTTACTAGTTTAAAAAAATTATATGGGAAGAAAAAGAAATGCATCTATAAAGTTACACAAATTACACCCCATCTATGTAGAAGTACACATGCGGTATCAGCTTGTTGGTACATGTTGATGAGCTTGGTGTGGTGACATCACAAAACATTTGTGAGTCTTGCTCTAATGTTTTGGCTTAATTTTTGTGACTGGACCTGCATCAAACGAAAACAATTCCCAAAGCTTTTAAACTAAAACTGGATCAGCAGTATTTCCCAGCGTTGTGTCTTTCAGGGTTTCTAAAATTCTAGAATGCCTAAGTAGTGGGAATTCACCAAGTAAATCATTTTGGATATATGTGCACACATAGATGCGCACTTGAAACCTGCAACAGTATTACAACATTTTTAAAATCACCATTTAGTTTGACCTTTAAGACCATCTCCACCCCACATTGTAGAAGAGCAAATTGGTTGAGTAATTCACCGTATTGCTGTGACTGTATTCTTGTGACCTTTTAAATAATCGTCCCTGCTATTGCAGTCATGCACTACTTTGTCTGAAACTGTAAAAAAGCAAAAAACAACATTTGCACATTAGAGTAAACACCATTTATAAATGAGCCTCTCCTCATGTTCCAAGTCTTAAAATCCAGCAAAGGTCAAACAAGTCACTAATAGAGGATCAAGTCAGATTTACTGCTCGACTTATGAAAGCGGTTTGATATTTAGTTTTGTTTCCTTGAACAACATTGATAATTGTTGTAGTTGTGCTTTTAGTCATGACTAGTATGCCATGTTTGGATGGGTATAACCATGGGATACAGACAACGGTAAAAATACATGCTTATAACTTTGATTAAAAAAAAAAAAAACCTCTCACATCTCAAATCTAAGAGAAACAACCCCATAATTGGAGAAATGCACAGTAAATGCATTTAGTCATTAAGGATTTCTTTTCCCACACTAACCAAATCTCAATTCTTGAGAAATTGGTAAGATCTGTTGCTTCGTGAAAGTATAATTAAGTATAAAATCTTTTCTTAAAGGGATACTCTTCAGTATTTGACCTTTTCACATGGATAAGGTTTGGGAAGCTTAAAGAGTTTTAAATTAATTATTTAAAAAAAA